GCCGACATGACCATTGCACCCAGAAACATCAGTCTTTCCTTACTGAGCACTAGCAGTGACAGCTACTTAAATAGCCAGTCCTTTGAGGCTGATGACATTTGCAACGTGACAATTAGCGACTTGTATGCGGGCATGCTGCATTCAATGAGTCGACTACTGAGTTCAAAGCCATCGTGCATAATCTCCACAAAGACATACATCAGTCAGAACTGGAACCCCAGGAGGACGCTCCTGCGAAGGAGCAGGGTGCAGAGGAGCTCCAGTCGGAGGTCTGCACCCTCCTCAGAGGTCGGAGTGTTAGGGAACTGCGAGAACATGCTGCACATGGCTCGTCATAAGACAGGCTTAAAGCTGGAAAAGGCTTTTCTTGAAGGAAGCAAACTCCAAATCCATAAATCCAGTCCAGCGTGGAAGAAATTTCAAGTGGCACCCCGGAAGCATCCTTCATGGACTTACTTGGATTTCGACACAGTGTGCCATCTTGATTGGGAAGATAGACTGAAGGCATTAAAATGGTTAATATCCCCTGTTAAAATAGTTTCCAGACCAAGGATGCTTCAGGGCCAAGCAGAGAGTTGGTACAGAGAGATTGACATCAGGTTTGACAAGCTCCATCGGGAGTGTTGCCTAACTTCCAGGAAGAAGCCTCGCCTGTCTGGCCCCCCCAGGTCCTGGGCTGTGGGTGTGCACAGAGGTGGTTCTAGAAGCCCAGGTAGCTCCCAGGGCTTAGAAACCCACAGGCCGAGAGAAAAAAAAAGGTTAAGTGAGGCTTTCCAAGACCTTGGCAAAGTGCCTGTCAGAGCAGGTAGACACCCCCTAAAGAGCAAGCCCTCTTCATCCCTGTCAGAGGACAGCTCCACATGGAGCCCAGGCCACTTCGGACAGACACCTGGCCTTTTTCTTCAAGGACGAAATTCTGGGCCAATCAGAAAGGCAGTGTTACCCAGCACAGCTATTTCAGCACAACAGATGGGCCCTTGGGACTGCGGAAGGAGTCGCTATGATGA